GACGACACTATATTTACTTTTTGAGAACTGTTGTAATCCGCTAAAATTTTTTGGTTTCTTCTGATTGTGTGAGAGAGAGAGAGAGACTTGGCAAATAGATGGGAATTTGAAGAATCTGAGGGATGTTTAGGATAGAGAAGGCTTAAAAATGTCGTTTAAAAATGGGTTTCGAAATATTAGCCATTAAAAATGGCTTTCAAAAAGCGACTCTTTAAAAAAAATGGCCGCTAATAAATGGCCGATGAAAAATGTCTGTTAAAAATGGCTCTCCAAAAAATTAAGACTAAAAATGGCTTTTGAAAAAATACCGCTAAAAACCGTCGTTGAAAAAATGGCTGTTAAAATATGGCTCTCAAAAAATGACACTTAAAAAATGGCTTTCGAAGATATGGCTTTTGAAAAAATAGTTGTTAAAAAATAAGTGTTAAAAATGACTCTGAAAAAAATGGACGCTAAAAGTAACCGCTAAAAATGACTGTTGGAAAAATGACTGTAAATTTTTTTGGACCCAAAAAAATCAAAAAAAAATAAAACTCAAGGAAATAAAGAAGCTAAAAAATAGCAACAACAGCAACCAAAATAGTTGACATCTATCAGGAAGAAGAAAATGGAAATGCTGTGGTTGTGGACTCCAATAAGAAGAAGAGGAAAGAATTTTTCACGAATTGGCACGCAATTTGCGGAAATTCGAAAATTCGGGCTCACTGAGCAAGAAGCATTTGGGCGAAGAGAAAACGATAAAGCTAGGAAAAGAAGAAGGCAATGAAATTTGGAATTTTGAAGAAAAAAAAGAAAAGAAAAAGAAGGAAATTTTTGTGAGATGAGATAAGAACTCAACTAACGAGGTTTTACTGGAAAACTGAGGAGAAAAAGTAAAAAATTGAAACAAAGAAGAAAAAGAGCAAGAAGGAGTAGTGAAAAAACGAGATGGAAAATTTGATTGGCGACAGTTGTGCTATGCATTTTTGAGTAGTTGGATATAAAGTGTTTAAACGGGAAAATTAATGCGAAAATGGAAAAAAAACATGTCACAAAAAACATGTCACTGGAACAGGTGGATTGAACAGAGTCCCTTCGACTTGAAAAATTTTAAAGTCCTAGAGCCCTGAATTTCTGGAAAAATGAAGCTAGGAATTTCCTATAAAATCTGTCCAAAAATCAACTTTCTAGGACGTCTAGGAGCTGAGATACACCCCTTCAAAGTTTTGCGAGCTAGAGACGCAGACGACGAGACACACTGCGTCTCTAACCTCCCAAACTTCAAATGACTGTATCTCGGCTTCTAGAAGGCCTAGAAAGTTAGTTCTTTGACAGATTTGCAAGAAATTTTCTGTTCTACAAGATCACATGCAAAGATAAAAAGGCATCCGCGGTCTTACGGTCGGATAAAGTTCCCGATCGAATGGAAGCCTTACTTCAGGCCCCAGAATCTAGAGCCTCCGTTTTCTGAAGCACAAAGCACCAGAAACTCAGAATTCTATAACTTTCAAATTTCAAAAAAAAAATACGAGATCCAGAATTCTTGAATCTCAAAATTTTATAATTTCTAAATTCTAAAAAATCACTCGGTGTGCCTTCCGAAAATTCAGAAAGCTAGACGGAAATGGGAATTACGATAAAGAAGAAAAATGTCAAAAGAAGTATGAGAAAGTTGCCATATTACTCTTGATTTCTGAGATCAGATATTGTGAGTAGTGCCTCAATTTCTTCTGTCACACTAAAGAATACCCCCCTCGCCGCTCTTTCTGCCATGTTGTGATGTTTCGTGGTGTCTGCTCCGGCTCCTCCTTTACTGCAAGAGCCCCACGCAAAAATAGCACGGCATTCAGAGAGACGCAGACAAGAAGTTCCGAGGGATTGGATGTTTGAAGACATGTTTCGATTGATTGAGCAATCAGTTGTCGTTGTTCTGAATGTCTCCAGAATCCTTCTCAGATCAGTCAAAAGGACATTCAAAAGATTGATGGTGTTGGGTGGGTCAGAATAAAAGCAAGAGAATAATGATGATCCTATTGGTGAACGGAGAAGAAGCCGACGAAATTCGAGATGCTTCATCGCAAACTTTGGGGTGTCCGATTCCGCCGAATTTTTATTTCTCGCATTTTCTTCACATCGAGCTATTACACACATGCGTTTTCCGGTCATCTCAACCACTCACAGATTGGCCCCGGGCAGAAAAAAACATGATGCAAGGAATCATGAACAAGAATCAGATGAAACGGATTTAGATTGTAAATTTGTAATTGAGGTCTACGAAATACAGCACCAGACGGGAAAAAAACAGAGATGTGGAAGGTCCTAGACCTAAACCTACCGTAACCCAACATTTTCTTTCAGAGTTTTTGTTCTTATTTTTCACTGATTCTGTTTGTAATCCCCACGAACCAGCCGGAAAATAAAACTGCAAACGCACGGAAATCGAGAACAAAAATTCTGAAAATAAAAAAGTTTTAGACTACCGTAATTTTCGTTCTGAGAGCTTCGACGAACACCCTAAAACTTTGATGTCTATTATCTCGGTTCCTGTGAGATATATCACCAATTTGTCAACTGATAAAATATTGCTGATATTATAATGAACAATTTTACAGTTGACAAATTTTTTATATCTTTCATAGGAATTAAGATAATTGAGCTGGAGCGTAACTATCGTACTTGTTTCAATAGAAGCCCACCCTATAAGTGCACTTTGAGCACAATTATCTCGGCTCCTATGCAAGACATCCTAAATGTGCCAACTGATAAATTATTGATCGCAATTTCAAAAATATTTTTTCAGTTGGCAAATTTTTGATAACTTTCATAGGAATTGAGATAATTGAGCTCAAAGCTAACGTTTTTGAAATTTTCCAGCAGAAACACCCAAGTCATTCTTCTATCTGAAAAGAAGAATTTTTTGAATGTTTCACCAAACATTTAATGAAGTTTACATTTTCATTCGATTAATTCCCACCTCATTTTTGTGACTTTTTTCGTATAGTCACAAAATTTTCAATTTTCCAGGTGCACTTTTCCTCGCTAATCTTATTTTTTCGCTTCGAAAAATTCCCCAAAACTTTCCAATGCACATTCTTTGAACTCGTTTTTTTTCTCTCACTCCCACACCTCTTTTTCTAAAACGCACTTTTTATTTTTGACGTCTTCTTCTTCATCTCCGCCAGCTCCGCCAGACACAGAGCAACACCCGGGGCAACGACAACGTGCGAAAGAGAAGAGGAATGAGGGATTAAGATATTTGAAGTTAGAAAAAGGGATTTGCATACATTTTATTCGACTGATACGACTGGATGAGTGATACATACAAAAAACAAGATGAAGGAGATTAAGGGATTCCCATTTTCAAAAAAATATTTTATTTATCAGAGAGGCTGCTGCTGGAAGGGGACTTGAATATGAACATGTATTCAGGTTGAACGATTTGATGTTGAGGGGTTGATTGATTGGGTTCATACTGGTGGGATTCCGGGACGACACGGACCGGCGGATAACTCGCCTCATAACTGAAATCGTGAGCCAAACAAAATACCAAATGATAGAGCTCAGAGAGCTCTACAACCTCACACAAGAATCTTCTAGCTTCGAAAGCTGTGTTTTGGCCCGGGCCGGGACCCTTTAATTGGTCCGACGGTGCTTGAAGAGCTCGCCGAGCTCTATCATCTGGTTTACTGTTTTGCTGATAATGTCAATTTGGAAGCGAGCTATCAGCGGCCGTTTTTGTAATTCGGAAAAAAAATCCTTTATTCATTTAACCTACAATTCAGAACAGTTCAATTTATCATTAATCCTTCGTTCCATCCTTAGTTCGCTTCTTGCATGGTGCTGGTGACGTCTGACGTGCCTTAACGATGTGCGGTGGAGACGTGGGTCCTCCTCACGTCATCAATCGAAGACCACCGGGGGGAATCGAACTGTCCTTTCCATTCCCCCGATGGTCCCACAACCGCACATGTTATCCAGTCGGCTACGTGGACGCTGAAAGGGACACAGAGGACGTATAAGAATTTATGACCATCTTGAGGTGAAGATGACTGTAAGACCAGAGAGGAGATTGGGGATGTGACTGAGAATTGGTGATTGTTTTCTTTTTTATTCAAGGACCCTAAAAAGTTAAGTTGCGGGAAACCATTGTGACAATTTTTGTCCCAGCAACAAAAAATACCCCAGTCTATCATATAAACCTGCGTCGATGTTAAACAATGCATGTTTACTTATCTTAGAAAAAAAATCAATTTTTCGCTATCTTCTTGTTTCTCTATTTCTCTACATTTCAACTAATCATGCCAGCTAGTTCTCAGCCATTCTTAAAAACACTATCAATAAAGTGAGTACCCAAATCCTGCTCCTGTTTTTCAACTTGACTTTTTCAGTACTCAAGAGGAACCTCATAAATTTAAACTCTTCAAAGTGATAACTGTTACTCTGATAGTCTTATTTGTTTGCGGATTGTTAGCGTTTGGATTGTCAGCGGGTATCTGGCACGTCTATGATATTTTTGCGGGTAAGACAGAAGCAGAAATCCAAAATGATTTCGTTGAAAAATGAATTTTTCCAGAATCTTCCACCCAAGCACCTTTAATAAAAAGCTGAAAATGATGACAGTTCAGTTGAAACTATATTGGTGGTCATCTTCTGTGGAATATTATCCCTCGGACTTTCAGCAGTTGTTTGGTATTATTTTCAAGAATTGGACGCAGTAAAAAGTTAGTTTTTTTCTTGAAAATTGAATATTTACTACAGTAGCGGAAAAACTTGAAATCCATTTGAAAAATGTAATTGAGATTCATAAAGTTCCTCTAACAGAAGCCAGCCCACACCGTCAACTTTGAGCTCGATTATGTCAATTCCTGTTAAAGATATCAAAAGTTTATCAACTGATAAAATATCAGTGATATTATGATATGATCTTTTTCACAGGAATTGAGATAATTGAGCTCAAAGTTGACGGTTTGGTTAGGCTTCCACTAATCGATAATGTAAACTCTGGACTTTCAGACACACCTATGGCTACCGTACCTTCAATAAAAGACAACTTCAGTACCTCCGAACTATTAGTAGCTACTAGTGAGTTCAATATAGAAACTTCAATTTTCCAAACATAATTTGAGGTCCGGAATCACCGAGAACTACTCTGAAATCCCCACTGAAACGTCTGCTAAAGAATAATTCTGGTGAGTGAAATAAATCTAATAAGCCATTTTTCCCTACTTTGAAATGCGCAGATACCGAGCCATGTCCAAAAAGAATCGTTGGATATTTCACTGAATGGGAGAAATCAGAACTTCGAAAAGAGCAACTCCAGAAGCTGACCGATGTGATTTATCTCTTCGTGCCACTTCAAGAAAACGGAACAATTGATTCGGAAAAGGAATGGAGCGATAGCAGATTTGGGGATCTGAAAAACAAGGCACTCTCTCTGAAACCTGCTCTAAAAGTGATGATTGGTGTAGGGGGGAATGGTGTGCGTTTTGAATTCCGTCAAATTGTGTCGGATGATACGGAAAGAAAGTGAGTAACCCTTAAAGGGATAATTAGCTGACCGACCGCCGATCGAGCCGACCGTGTTTAACAAAAAAGTTTGTTTTTCATATGTTTGTACAAAAGCACGGAAAAACTTTAATGATAGATGAATTCGCTCTATATTTGTCAAAAACCGCTTTTCTAGCACATCTAGGAGCCGAGATACTGTCATTTGAAGTTTTGAAGGTCGTCTGCGCCTCTCACCTCTTAATTTACAAAGCAATGTACCCCGGCTCCTAGGTGAGCTAAAAAGTTCGTTTTTGGACAGAAACGTGTGAAATTTAGAGAAGATAATCCGAGATTAAGATTTCCAAATTTTTTGTAAATTCTAAAACTAAAAAAAAAATTTTTTTTGAATTTTCAGAAAATGCTATTTTTGAGTCGGCGGTCGGTCGGCCATCGCTGATTTTCGACCGACCGAAATGAAAGCCTTACTACTCTTACTTTGATAAAACATTCAATGGAATGTTTCAGAGCGCTCGTAGACTCCATCACCTCGTTCATAGTGGAACATGACTTGGACGGCGTTGACGTCTTCTGGAAATGGCCCTTCAAACATACTCGCATATCCTACGTCATATTCCTACGAGAACTACGAACGCCGCTGGACACACTCAGGTACAAAATGTACAGACAGGTCCCTTACATAATCAGTATTATCGCTCCTCGAATTCATTCTGAATTTGACGGATTCGACTTGGAGGAGATAATGCAGATTGTGGATTTTGTCAACGTTCTAACCTATGACTATTTCTACACCACACACAAAGTGGGTCCACTTTCTCTGTTTTATGGAGGGCGAGAAGGAAATGTGGATCGAACAATGAAATATCTTACTTGTATGACTGAAAATCCCAGTAAGCTCAATCTGGGTGTTGCATTTTATGGAACCACGTACAACGTTACTGATTCACTATTTGAAAAAAGTTTTGATAATTTGTGGATCTCGAAGGATTCCAAAACTACCGGACCATTTGGAACCAGTTGGAGTGAAATTAGCTCAAATGAGAAAGCATTGGCAAAATGGGATAATGCGTCCAGAACTCCGTATACTTGGGATGGTCGGAAGTTTTTCACATTTGAGAATGAAAGAAGTATGCGAGAGAAGATGGAATATGCAAAGGAGCATAATATCGGAGGCATTGTAGTATGGGTCATTGATCAGGACGATGATAAGAGTACCTTGCTCAATGTGGTGTATTCTGTGTTTATGGGCACATTAAGCTGCGATGACAATAAAGAAATTGACAACGTTACTTCTACAGAACTTCCAATTGCCAGTCTTTCTGGTGAGTCAAAATGGCACTCGCCAAATTTAAGGGCGCATATATCAAAAACCAGAAAAGCTGGAAAGAAATTTTTAACTGCGTTATATGGAGGTTCAGAGGGAAATGTTGATGAGACGATGAAGTACTTGAGTTGTAAGACGGAGAATTCAAGAAAACTGAATATGGGCGTCACGTTTTATGAGATTCGCTACCTGAACACGGATATGCCTTTTGGAAACAATAGCATCTGGATTCCAATGAGCTCTGAAACTAAAGGACCGTATATAGAACTAAGGGAATACAGAACTTCAGATGAGAAGTCAATGGCGAAATGGGATAACGTCTCGAAAACTCCATATATCTGGCATGATCGCAAGTTCTTGGCATTTGAAAACGAAAAAAGTATGAGAGAGAAAATGAAATATGCAGAGGATCATAATATCGGAGGTATTTTGATTTGGGGTTTCGATGAAGACGATGACAAGCCCATATTGCTCAATGTGGTGTCTTCTGTGGACCTATGTACAGAAAGTTCGTTGCTGACATATAATTGTGGTGAGTATTTTTTTCATATTTGGAAAACGAGACATGCCCTAGTTTTCTAATTTTTAGGATACAACTCAACGAGTGCTACAAAATGATACAACTTGGAACGCCGTATCTTGTTTAAGAACAAAGTTGCTTGGCGAACTTTTTCTGCAAAGATGACAGGTTTTCTCCGGCGATTCCGTCTTCTTGTGTTTTTGAAAAAACTGAAAATTAAGGTGATTGATAGATCAGCAAGTTACACTAATATCATAAAATTTTTTACAGTCATTGTTTTTCATTCATGGTTCCCACCATGTCTCCAGTCACAATATTGAATAAAAAACCCCTTCAAATCGCATTTTCCATTCTTGCCATCCTTATAATCTGTGGCATTATCTCTGTTGCTATTTCTTCTGCATTCTGGTATTTTTATGATGTTAATGAATCGCCTTGTCGTTCCCGAGTTGTTGCCTATTATTAGTATTCGGAGACAAATGAAGCCACTCTGCGACAGCTAAGAAAACTTACGCATGTCAGTTTTGTGTTTTTGGATATTGATGATTATCGGAGATTCGGAAGAGAAATTGTTACAGATGATGGAAACTGCTTTGTCGATTAGATCGGAAATCAAATTGATGTTCAGTGTCGGCAGTCTCTCTTCGGCTTTACATTTTTCAAAGATAGTAGCAGAGAGGAAAAAGAGAAGGTAAGAATGTGTTTTGAATTCGTTTTAGAAAAACGCATTTTTCAGATTCCTTATCAAATCAATAATCTCATTCCTGAATGAGAACGACTTGGATGGTGTCGACGTCTACTGGGCCTGGCCTTCCAAAAATGACCGCCGATCTTACATCCACTTTATTCGAGAACTAAAAAAAATCGTTGGCTGAGCTCAAGAATGAAAAAAGACCTGAGGACTGCATTATCAGTATTATTGCTTCACAAAATCCATCTGAATTCGAAGGCTTCGATTTGATTGAAATCATGGAATCTATAGATTTCATCAACGTACTGACCTATGACTACTACTATACTACACATAAAGTGAGACCACGTTCTCCGTTATATGGAGGTTCGGAGGGAAAAGTTGATGAAACGATGAAGTATTTGAGTTGTAAAACGGAAAATTCAAGAAAACTGAATATGGGCGTCATGTGTTATGGAGCAAGGTACCTGAACACGGTCTGCCTTTTGGAAACAATAGTTTCTGGATTCCAATGAACTGTGAAACTAAAGGACCGTATATACAACTAAGGGGATACAGCACTTCAGATGACATTTGAAAACTAAAAGAGCATTAGAGAGAAAATTAAATATGCGGAGGACCATAATATTGGAGGGATTTTGATTTGAGTTATCGATCATGACGATTATGAGAACACATTGCTCAATGTGGTTTCTTCTGTGGATCTTTGTAAAGGAAGTTCGTTGCTGGCATATAATTGCGGTGAGTATTTTTTTTTCATATTTGAAAAACGAGCCATGCCCTAGTTTGTTTAGGATAGAACTCAATGAATGCTACAAAATGATACAACTTGGAACGCCGTATCTTTTCTAAGAACAAAGTTGCTTGGCAAACTTTTTCTGCAAAGATGACAGGTTTTTTTTCCGGCAACAGTCTTGTTGTGTTAAAAAAAACTGAAATTAAAGTGATTGATAGGTCTGCAAGTTACACTGGTATCATTAACTTTTTTACAATCATTAATTGTTTTTCATTCATTGTTCCCACAATGTCTCCAACCGTAATATTGGATAAAAAACCCCTCAAAGTAGCATTTTCCATTCTTGCCATCCTTATAATTTGTGGCATTATCTCTTTTGCTCTGTCAACTTCATTTTGGTATATTTATGATTATAACAATAATGAATTGCCTTGCCGTTTCCGACTCGTTGGCTATTATTCATACTGGACGACTTCTGAAGTCACCCTGAGACAGCTAAGAAAACTTACGCATATCAGTTTTGTGTTTTTGGCGATTGATGAAAATGGAAGTTTGAGTTTTGCCGGAGATTCTGGAGAAGAGAGATTTTTACAAATGAAGAAAATTGCTTTGTCAATTAGACCGGATATCAAAGTGATGTTCAGTGTTGGTAGTGACAAAACGGCTTTTCATTTTTCAAAGATCGTAGCTGAGAGGGAAAAGAAAAGGTTAGGATTCTTTTTATTTTAATTGTAGAAAAAACTCATATTTCAGATTCCTCATCAACTCCATAATCTCATTCCTAGATGAGAACGACTTGGATGGTGTCGACGTCTTCTGGAGCTTTCCCTCCAAACAGGACCGCCGATCTTACATCCGATTCCTTCGAGAACTGAAAAAATCATTGGTTGAGCTCAAGATTGAAAAAGGGAGAACTGAAGACTATGTCATCAGTATTATTGCTCCACAAAGTCCTTCTGAATTCGAAGGGTTCAATTTGGTTGAAATCATGGAATCTGTAGATTTCGTCAACGTCCTGACGTATGATTATTACTTCACCTCACATAAAGTTGGACCACTTTCTCCGTTATATGGAGGTTCGGAGGGAAACGTTGATGAAACGATGAAGTATTTGAGTTGTAAAACGAAAAACCCAAGAAAACTGAATATGGGAGTCTCGTTTTATGGGAATCGCTTCTTGAACACGGAGCTGCCTTTTGGGAACAATAGTATCTGGATTCCAATGAGCTCTGAAACGAAAGGACCGTTTAGACTACAATGGAACGAAATCACTCCAAATGAGAAAGCGGTTACAAAATGGGATAACGTAACGAGAACTGAATATGTCTACGACGATCGCAAGTTTCTGACATTTGAAAATGAAAAGAGTATGCGAGAGAAAATGAAATATGCGGAGGATCATAATATTGGAGGGATTTCGATATGGGTTATCGATGAAGACGATGACGAGAACACATTGCTCAATGTGGTGTTTTCTGTGGATCTGTGCACAGGAAGTTCTTTGCAGACATATACTTGTGGTCAGTAATTTTTTGGGTCAAATAGTTTCAAAACAACTAAAATATATAGCGCTCGACAAGTGCTACAAAATGATACTATTTGGAAAGCTGTTTCTTATCTACAAACAAGGTTACAAGTCATAAGACTATGACCACGTAGCATACGGTTTTCGGCTTGTTCCTAGACAAGATATCGTACCTCAAATAGCTTAATTTCGTAGTACTTGTCAAACTCTATCATATCTGATTTAGTTGGTTCAAAAATATTGATTCTAAAAGGAGCTATGGCAGGGTCCGCCAGGGATTTCCAAAGAAAAGGTTAGGAGTGGCATTAAGCCAAAGAGAGAAAGAAATACTAATACGTATTTATTAGAAATATATTCCTCATGATAACAGTGTTTATCTCCTTCACCAACCGGTTCTTCCCCTATTACTCATTGTTTCTATTCCTCATATCTTGACCCTTTATAATATGAAAATGTTCTATCTTTTTCACATTTTTACTAAATTTTCAAATTCCTTGTTATCCTCTAAATGAGCACTACAAATCCCAACCGAACTGGTAGATATAGCCAACTAGTGGTGGATTCGAATTTGTGAGTTCAAAAAATTAAAAGTTTGTTATAGAAAGCAAAGAAACTTGAGCAAAGGAAACTGTAGATCGATATTCATCTTGTGCTTGATTTTTGTAGTATGTGCACCGATCGCATTTGTTCTATCGGAACTTTTTATGTTTTTCTATACAGGAGAAATTAGTTTCGGTAATTTTGAACCTACGGTTTTTGTCTGAATTTCAAAGTTTCAGATTCCAAGACCACCACAACTACTGCTTTCCAGTCAACTACTACCACTTCCACGACAACTACACCTTTGCCAACAACCACAACTACTGATTTTCAGTCGACTACCACTTCCAGACAACTGTCAAGCAGTACTACATCGAGTAAAAAAGATTCTAAGCTTCCACCAGCTGCTTCTTGTGGAAAAAGAGTTTTTGGATATTTCACGGAATGGGAGAATGCAGATCTCAGAGAAGAACAGCTCGGAAAACTGACTCATGTGATTTATCTCTTTGCTACAGTTCAAGATGATGGAAGCATCAAATTGGATAATAAACGGACAGAAAAACGATTTTTGGATCTAAAAGATAAGGCTCATTCTGTGAGATCTGATCTGAAAATGATGATTGGAGTTGGAGGACATGCAACGTCGTACAGATTCTCTTCGATTGTATCGGATGATGGAAAACGAAAGTGAGTTTTACTCAAATGGCCCTACAATTCCTATCATTTTTTAGAATTCTCATCGATTCCATTGTCTCCTTCATAGATGAGCAAGATCTTGATGGTGTCGACATTTTCTGGATTTGGTCTTATGAGGATGACAAACTACACTATTCAAAATTCCTCAGGGAGCTTCGAAAAGCACTGAACATTTTGAAATCTTTTGAAAAAAAGAAAAGAGCTGAAGACTATCTTATTAGTCTCATTATTCCTCCTAAAATCGCAACTCTGGCGGAAGGATATGACATCAATGAGATATTGAAATCAGTAGATTTCCTAAATGTTCTCACCTATGACTACTATTTCAATGGAGATCGAGTAGGACCCCACTCGCCAATCTACGGAGGAACCCGTGGAAATATTGATGAAACTATGAAATACCTGACTTGTAAAACTAGACAACCTAGTAAGATAAATATGGCTGTTCCGTTTTATGGAACATTCTGGAGGAATGCATCGTTACCTCTTCTGGATGATTCTGATGAGATATGGAAGGATAAGGGAAACGCTGCTGGTCCATTTGCAGTCCGCTGGAGAGAACTTGTAACAAATGGATGGGATAAGAGTACAACCAGATTCCATGAGAAATCGAAAACTTCTTACATCTGGATCTCAGAAACGAAACATTTCTTAACGTTTGAGAACGAGAGGAGTCTAGCGGAAAAAGCGAAATATGTGAAGGAACATCAACTTGGAGGAATTTTAATATGGGCAATTGATCAAGATGATGATCAGAATACTCTTTTGAATGCGGTTTCTTCAGCTGATATTTGTTCACAAAAAGAGAAAGAGTATATTAATTATATATGTGATAAATAAATTGTATACGGTTAATGGTATTAAAGGTGGGGGGACATGAAAAAATAATGTTCTCGAAATTCCGTTCAAAGATGCCCCTCGAGGAGTTGAACTTGTGAGGGCGATGATTGAGGGTGCGGCGCCGCTACCGACTGAGCCACGCGGGCAAAGAGAAAGCGCACGCCCGATTGCATACAAGGCGAGGACGACAGCTGTACGCAGAGTCACATTAAGCGTTGTACACCGTGCGGTAGAATGCATACTCTAGCTACAAAAAAACTACGAAAAATCTCCTGTCCCCCCACCTTTAATCTAAAGTTAATAAATTGTTTAAATTACTGTATCTCTCGGAGGAATTGTTTCAAAATAATAGAATTCTAAAGAAAAATACAGAGTTTAAAAAAATTGATGTGAATAAAACAATTTGATACATTTGAGCTACAATTCAGAACAATACCATTAGTACCTGTAATAGAAGGGCTGGAAATTTTGAGCCTATTTTTCTCGGTTTCTGTGAAAGTTATCAAAAATCGGTAAACTGATAAATTGTTTATCATAAAATTTCAAACATTTTATCAGTTGACACACTTTTGATATCTCTTACAGGGGCCGAGATAATTGAGCTCAAACCTAACTGTAAGAGGAATTTCAAAGTACGCCATACATAGTTTCAATTTAAAACTTTCCACCTTCAGTGATCTTTGGAATATCGTCCGCCTACGAAAATAGAAAAATAGCCCAGATTGTTATTCTTGTTGTTATTCTCCGTCAACGCCGGTTTGGAATGTGTCTATTCCAGAACAGTCACTAGTTTTAGCAACAATTGGTACGGACGGAGAGGGGGGATGACACAACAACAAAATGTGACACCAGCCGAATTGAGAGAGAAAAAGAGCACTAACAATTGGAAAACAACAAAAATGACGAAAGGTGAATCAGGAGACAGGAGGAGGGGAGGACAAACTGTGTAAATAAACAGGAAAAAGTAAGCAAGAGGATTATTTAGAAGAGTTGGTGCTTTAAAAGTGGGATAATACTACATTTCGGTTTTTATTTGAGTTTTTTGTAGAGTTTATAGTGATAGATTTTTCTCGATTAACCCAAACCGTCAACTTTGAGCCTATATATCTCGGCTCTTGTGAATATCAAAAACTTGTCACCTAATAAAATATTTGTGATATTATGATAAATGATTTATTAGTTGACAAGTTTTTGATATCACTTACAGGAATTGAGATAATTGAGCTCAAAGTAGACATTTTGGGTGGGCTTCTATTACATTTTTTTATATTTTTTACATTATTTCTGAACAAAAAAGAATTTTCTAGAATTCTTTTTTTTTTGTGAAAATTGTAGTCAAAATTCTAGCTCTAAAAGTAGGTCACCATATACACTTCAACTTTAAGCTCAATTATCTCGGTTCTTGTAAAACACACCAAAATTTTGTCAACAGATAAAATGTTTATGACATCATGATAAACATTTTATCAGTTGACACATTTTTCATATCTTTTATAGAAATTGAGATAATTGAGTTTAAAGAGAGTGTCTAGGGTGACGTTCTATTGGAGAAGGCCACCCAACCGTCGATTTGAGCTCTATTATCTCAATTTCTGTGAGAGATATAAGAAATGTGTTCACTGATAAAATGTTGGTTACATTATGAGGAACATTTTTCTAGTTAACTGATTTTTTATATCTTCTACAGGAATTGAGATAGTTGAGCTCAAAGTTGACGATTTGGGTGGCCTTCTCAAATAGAAGCCCACCCATGTCGTCAACTTTGAGATGAATTATCTCAGTTCTTATAAAAGATATCAAAAATGTATTAACTGATAAAATGTTGCCAATTAAATGACAAATATTTTATCAGTTGACCGCGTTTTGATATCTTTTATAGAAGTTGAGATTATTGAGCTCAAACTTAACAGTGTTTTTTTTTCTGTTTTTGACTTTTAAAAATCATTGCAGTTCAAACTCCAAGTGTGACATCATCCAAGTTCTAGATTTTTTCGAACGTTCCTGATTTCTTTTTCTAAAATTTTCTAGGTCAAACAAACAAAAAACTAGTCCGCACGCTCTTCAAAGATCATTTGACCAGCCCGTAGATCTAATCCTAGCAAAACCCGTGATTTACAACCCAGTTCCTCAATTTTTTTCAAGATTAGATAGATGACATCATTCTTGTCCAGTACAGATTCTTTTTGTATTCTCTCTGATTCCCTTTGTCTCTTCATCCCCTACACTATTTCCACTTTCAACGCAGACAATAAAAGTAGAGATAGGGGTCATTTCGTCGTCGTCGCGATGACTATCTGTAAACCCTGATAAGACTAATATAAATGGAAAGAAAATTTGGCACGTGTCTCTTTTTCTTCTTTTTGTCCTATTGATTTTGGCAACTTTTGAAGGTTTTTTTTTGTTTGTACTTGCGTCGCTTGGAATTTGACCTGTTTTTATTTATTTTAGGCATTTTTCTTATGGTTTTGATGTTGAAAAATGTGATGACCTATCACCCCATAGAAAGTAATTGTCATTGTTCCTTCTTGAATCAATATTTTTGAACCAACTTAATTGGGTATGATAGAACAACTCAAAAGCTACAAAATGAATTTTTGGAGTACTGTATCTTGTCTATGAACTTAGTTACAAGCTATAAAACTTTGACCGCGTAGTTCAAACGTTTTTTCTCGTAACTTTGGTTATAGACAAGATACAGTATTCCAAATAATATCTTTGTATAGTACTCGTTGAGTTTTTTCGTAACTAATTTAGTTGGTCAAAAAATAATTAGCCTTAAAAAAGTTATGCGCAGATCCGTCAATGATCCGTCTTGGACCCGTTGTCAAGTACGGTCCTGGACATGACTTTTTCTGATCTTTACCGTTTCCAACCAACGAATATGACAATTTTTGAAAATTACCGTATTCAGAAGAACACCTGAGCCTTCAACTTTGAGCTCAATTATCTCAATTCTTATGAGAGATATTGAAAATTTTTGAACTGATGAAATGTTTATCATATTATCATCAATACTTTATCAGTTGACAAATTTTGTTATCTCTTACAGTAACCGAGATAATTGAGCTCGAAGTAAACAGTTTTGGTGGGCTTCTAAATATCAGAAGGAATACGGTAGTTGGGAAATGTTCTTTTTTTTCTTCTTCTCTTTTTTTCCAATTTTCCTAAACTTCTGAATATCCGGACTTTTTTCTGAGTTCCCAGTTTTCAGAGCCCTTCAAAACCCGAATTTTAAACAAAAATGACAACATCCCACGATCGTGCCGTCCTCAACCAAATTCTAAACCCTTTAATGCCAACCTCCGATTCTGGAATGGGAGAAGTGCATTTGGAATCCGACAAAGTCGATCATCCTGGCTACACTTTAAGCTCTCAGTTGGAGCGAGAAGCAGTACGCCTGGCAGAAAGTATGAATGTGACTGATGCAATTGAGAAGTTTACAGAGTGAGTGGCCATAATTTCCTCTTCAATTCTGTCCAAAAACCAACTTTCTAGCTGATCTAGAACTCGAGGTACAGCGATTTTAAATTCTGAAGGCGAGAGGCGCAGACGACGAGACACGCTGCGTCTCTCACCTTCAAAACTTTAAATGACTATATAACAAGTAGTGATTTTCAAAACTTTAAATTTGGGAAAAATATTCAGAAAGTGTTAATATTTCTGTTATATTTGTTGAAAAAACACGTTGCTCCCAAAAACTTAAAGGTGGGGGGACATGAAAAAAATAATGTTCTCGAAATTCCGTTCAACGATGCCTCTCGAGGAGTTGAACTTGTGAGGGCGATGATTGAGGGTGTGGCGCCGCTATCGACTGAGCCACGCGGGCAAAGAGAAAGCGCACGCCCGATTGCATACATAAAGACGAGGACGACAGCTGTACGCAGAGTGACATTTAGCCTTGTACACCGTGACGGTAGAATGCATACTCTAGCTACAAAAAAACTACGAAAAATCTCCTGTCCCCCCACCTTTAACGGTCCATCTTTTGGGAGATGTAAAAGATTCACGTGGCTCACAAAAATTTTTGACATTTCAGTACTTTGATGTGAAAATTAAAACTTTTGAAATTCGCTACTTGTTATATCTCGGCTTCTAGAAGAGCTAGAAACTCCTTGTTTTCACGAAAATGAAGCCGAGTAATTGGGGAAAGAAACATCCTAGGATTCAGACTAAAAGTCTTTTTGGTTTCAGAGCTATCCAAGTTTGCCCCTTGAACCCATCTGCCTACAATAACCGCGCTCAAGCGTACCGACTTCAAAACTCGCCAGAAAGTGAGTCCTAATCCCTAGGCAAATACTCATTAGCTTGATGATCTCTTGCTAAATGCTCACTTGCTAAATATGCTCATTTGCTAAACTCGCTCATTTGCTAAAATAGTCTCACTTGCTAAATTTCATTTGCTAAATTTTGATCATTCGCTAAAAATGAAAAAGTGGAAATTTTGCTGTTATTTGCTAATTTCAGTAGTTTTTGACTGATCTTTTTACAGAATATTCCGGTTTTTGCTTTAAATTTCAGGCTTAGGCTTTAACACCTGTTTTCCGGTAAGGAGTTTCAGCCTAAGCCTTCAATCTGAACAAGTCCCCTATTTAGCAAATGATCAAAATTTAGCAAATGAAATTTAGCAAGTGAAACTATTTTAGCAAATGAGCGAGTTTAGCTCATGAGCATATTTAGCAAGTGAGCATTTAGCAAAAGATCATCAAGCTAATGAGTATTTGTAAGCTAATGAGCCAGCAATTTTTCAAGCTTCTATTTTCAGAAGCCCTGGAAGACCTTAACGAATCTCTTCGTTTAGCTGGACCAAAAACGAAAACTGCTTGTCAGGCATACGTACAAAGAGCGAGTATCTATAGATTACAAGGAGACGATGAGAAAGCGAGGGTAAGTAAGAAGCGAAGGTCCCACAACGGCAACTACCGTAACCTAGTAAATTTATTATTATTTTCCGCATTTTTTCTCACTTTCGTGCGTTTTCAGTCGAAGTTTCACCATAATCCGTTGAAAACGGCCAAAACCGCGAAAAAGTCGATAGAAAGGAGAAAATAAGTCAAAAATTTTGCAAAAATATTTTTTGTTGGGTTACGGTAGCATTCGTTTGTCGGCTGTGTTTTCGAAAATTCTCCTTGTATATACGGTGGCCTAACTTGTGTGAAAATTCGGCCACAACTCCAATTTTTTGCACAAGAATAATAAAGAATCATGTATTTTAGTATTTATTGTTAGACCTATTTTTTCAATTTTTTCAAAGAATTTTGAGGGTTCTGAACTATTTTTTTTTCACAAAAATCCGAACATTTGCAAAAAATGCATAAAATACCAAAAATTATTGAAATATTTCGATTTTTCGATGAATTTTATCGAGTTTCTTTGTTTTTATGGACTTTTTACGATTTTTCGAATTTTCGCTAAGAAAAAATTGAAAATTAGAGAAATTTATCTTAAAATCGAAAGAACCCGACAAAAAAGTCTGAAAATGCATTAAAAAAAGAGAAATTTTGAAAAATCGGCTAAATTTATTGAAAAATTGCAATGTCGCCAATTTTCGAGGGGACCTAACTTTTTCAGTTTTTGTTCGAAATTCGTTACAGTCAGATTTTTTGAACTTGTCTAGTTATACGCTTCAAGATGCGAATAAGCACAAGTACATTTGATTTTCGCCCCTGGACCATGCGCCTTTAAGGTCGAAATTTGAAATTTTCAGAAGTATATCGTGTTTATACTCATTTTGAAGCTTAAAACATGGCGAACTCAAAAATGTAAATTGTATAAAATTTGAAGTGAAACTGAAAAAGTTGGGGACCATAAAATATTTTTCGGAAAAAAAAACATTTTTCGGTTATTTTTCCCTGAATTGACTGAAAACGCGCGGAAAAACGCGAAAAAAACATTTGTATGTTACTGTAGTCGTCGCTGTGGGACCTTTTTCTGTACCATAATAATATTTGAAAAATTCCAGGCCGATTTCGCTGCAGCCGCCGAGCTGGGCTCTTCGTTCGCCAAGATGCAAATGGTCGCGCTGAACCCGTACGCCGCGATGTGCAACAAAATGTTGGCCGAGGTTTTTGAGAAGGCCAAGACAGGAGATAATTGATTTTTATCGATTTTTCTGATTTTTGACAACGAATAAAATTTTTCTGAAACAACAAAAATCTAGCGACCTAAACAGGAAAACTACACAACAAAAACAAAAATTATTATTTTTATACTGAGCAATTATTCTGAGCAATTTGACTGGGGCTCTTTAAATATCTCATCAGCACCACAATGGCTTCCGGTGTGATTCCAGAGATCCTCGTGGCGGCCGCCAGATTCCTTGGCCGCGCCCGTTCCAACTTCTCAATGCACTCCAGACTCATTCCACGCATCGTTGAGAAGTCAATGTTGTCGGGGATTACTGTAGCCGACTCGCGATCGATTTCTTGTTTCTAAAATTGGGAAAATTGTATAATTTTTGAAAAACTGTCTAAAATAGTGCATTTTTCCAATTTTTTTGTCTGAAATTTGATGAAACGTTGTTCGGCGAGGATTACTGTAGATTACTGTAGTTTTTACAAACAAAGTCACGTCAGAATGCACACAAAACTACAGTAGTCTACAGTTTTCAGTTTTGGCGGGAACTCAGTAAAAAAACCAGAACCTCCCAGAAGTTTCCAGAAGCGATTTTTCGAGGTTTCACGAAATTTTCTGGAAGTTTCCAGTGAAAATAGCCCGAAATTCCATGGATTTGTGCTCATTTATTTCGTCAATTTTTGACCCCAAAATCAGATTTTCAGCTGTGATTTTCGTCGATTTTTTCGGATTTTCTTCAATATAAACCTTCGCCTTCATCCTCTCGTGCTCCATCCGATACCGTCCCTCGATCTTCAACCTCTCCAGAATCTCTTCGTCCACGTCTTCAAACAACATCTCTAGGTCCTCCTTTCCCAAATCATATCGATGCACCAGTTCGAACGCCGACAACACTTTTCCGTCATTCCTCGCCGTTAGCTTCGGAATCTTTCTCTTCCACTTCACCATGCTCATTTTTAAATCTTCAGTTTTCTGGGTCAGGTCATCTAGAGATTTTCTGGTTCTTGAGAATTTGTTCCATCTGGTATCTCCAATTGCTCCGTGACGTCTTCCGATTTCTGTCAGCCGGATATCTGCATTGTCTGGACGTAGGTGAAGCCGAAATTCCGCTCGAGATGTCAACATTCGATAGGGTTCATTGGTTCCCAGACTGGTTAGATCATCAATCAACACTCCGATGTATGCCTCTGTCCTAGAGATTTCCATAGCTGGCTCTTTTCTAGCTCTCGCAGACGCATTGATTCCAGCAATCACCCCCTGAGCCGCCGCCTCCTCGTATCCAGTTGTTCCGTTGATCTGTCCAGCTAGGAACATTCCCTCCACTCTCTGCGTCTCCAGCGACTTCTTCAACTGCTTCGGATTCACAAAATCGTACTGTACTCCGTAGCCAGGCTGGAAGATTTCGACGTTTTCTAGTCCTGGAATGGCTCGGAAGATTTGAAGTTGGACTTCGGGTTTGAACGTCATCGACATTCCTTGAGGGTAGATGTGAGGGGAATCCAGACCTTCGTGCTCCAAAAATAGACGATGCTTGAGATTCGGGAAGCGGAGCAGTTTGGATTCGAACGATGGGCAGTATCTAGAATTTTTAGAATTTTTTTGAAAATTCAGAAATGCCAAAGTTCAAAAAATCAGAAATTTAGTGATCCAGAAACTTGAAAATTCAGAAAGTTCAAAAACTCAAAAACTCAAAAATTCGGTCATTATCAGCTATTTTTTTAAATAAAAATTAGGCAAAAAATCAGCCGGAAATCAGAAAAAATTGTGATTGTTTCTTCGATTTTTTTTTGCAAAATTTTTAAATCTTTTTAGGTTTTTCAGCTTTTTTTTCAAGATAGTTTTTCGATTTTTCCCAATTTTTCGTCTGAAATTTGATGGAACGGTGTTTGGCGAAGATTATTGTAGATTACTGTAGCTTCTTGCAAATAATTACGTTAAAACTAACGTGATTGTATTTGCAAAAAACTACTACAGTAACCTACAGTAATCTTCGCCGAACACTGTTCTATCAAATTTCGGACAAAAAATTCGGGAAAAATCGGAAAAGAGTATTTGAAAATAGCTAAAAAACCTAAAGAGGTCTAAAAATTTTGCAAAAAATCAAAGAAAAATGAATTTTTCTTTCGAAAAATCGCAAAAAAACCCGCAAGTTGTTTGAATTTTTCAGTCTTGGCGAAATTCTAGAATGAATTTTCTGAAGCGATTTTTCGAGCTTTTTTTTACATTTTTATGTGTCGAGCCTGAGATTTTTAGCCCCAAATGACCTAAAATAGGCGAAAGAGCATGGAAAATTGACCTCAGATTGCCTGATAACGTCTCTGGTCATCCTGTGTTAGTCCTGCCTGATTTTGGGGCATTTAAGTTGAAAATCGGTCTTAAACGGCTCAAAATGATCCAAAATTGGCCTGAAACTGATCTGACATGGCTCTAAAGGTAGGCTAGGCCATTTTCGGGCTATTTTCGATTACTTTCTGACATTTTAGACCAATTTTCAAACCAAAGAAGGCTAAAAATTATAAAAAATGGCCTTTGAAGTTAATTTCCGGCTGGTTTTTTAGCCAATTTTCATTTTAAAAAAGCTGAAAATGAGCGAAAATTGGCTGAAAATCATTTGAAAAAGTTAAAATTTCGAATTTTTTCGATTTTTCGAGATTTTGCAAATTTTTTCTTTGTGGCTATATGAATTTACAAATGTTTCTATACATTTTGATGCAATAAAATATATGAAGAACCTCGGCGACGTCGTTTCTGATGCCACCTGCCAATTTTCGTGCATATTCTCCTGCCCGATTCGACACGTTTCCTCATTTGTATGGCCTAGATATGTGGGTAGTTGATCCTGGTATTTTATCCAGATGTCATCGGTTAAAAATGAAAATGGAATCGGTTTTTTGTCAGGTTCCACCTTTTCGAATTTTGAAAAATCAATCGAATCCTTCATTAGACGAGGCGGCGTTCCAGTTCGTAACCGTCCTAGCTCGAATCCCAATTTTAGAAAACTTTCTGATAGCTTATCAGAACTTTTCTCTCCGATGCGTCCAGCTGGCCATACGCTCATTCCTTGGTAAATCTGAGCTCGGAGGAATGTTCCAGTGGTGATGACGACGCATTTTGTGCTGGAAATGGGAAAATTCAGGGATTCGAAAATTTAGATATTCAAAATTTCAGAAATTCGGAAATTCGGAGTTTTCAAATTTTCGAGTATTCTGAACTTTCTGGATTCTTGATTTTTAAAATTTCTGCTTTTTTCGAAATTTCAGATTTTTTAAATTTTCGAATTTCTATTTTTGGATTTCGTAAATTTCAAAATATACAAATTTTCTGGAATTTTTCGGAGTTTTTGAATTTTTTTTTGATTTTCAGCGTTTTTTCAGATTTTTCGAGATTTTTGTAAAATCAAAAAATCTGAAAAAGCACTGAAAATGAAGGAAAAAATGCAAAAATTCAAAAAATTCGAAATTCAAAAATTCGAAAAACTCAATTTTCAGAAGTTTAGAAAAATAAAAGAATTCCACAATTCGAAAAAATCAGAAATCCAGAAATTCAGAAATTTCAAAAATTTTGAAATTCAAAAAATTCGAAAAATCGAGAAATTCCAAAAAAATTCAAAAATTCAAAAATTCAGAAATTCGGAGTTTTCAATTTTCGAATTTTTCGAGATTATGATTTTTTCGAATTTTTGAATTTTCAGATTTTTCAAAATTTTCGGATTTTCTGAAATTTTTTTCTCGATTTTCAGTGTTTTTTGAGTTAACGAAAACCTCGAAAAAGGCTGAAAAAGTACCGAAATCAGGAAAATATACCAAAAATTTGATAAATTTCGATTTTTCGTTATTTTTTAGATGAAGCTACATGATTTTCTGCACAAAATAAAGCCAATAATTGCATTTTTCATCCAAAAATCACCTTATAACAGTTTCATTCGCCATTTTCACACCAACAACTCGGTCATTTTTCACCAGCAACTCCGCCACTTCTCCCTCTAAAACTTCCAGCTTTTCCGTCGAAAATATCTCATTTTGCATATGTTTTTTGTACAATTTGCGATCGATTTGCGCTCTCAATCCTAGTACAGCCGGTCCTTGTGCTCTGTTAAGTGCCTGATAAGTGATAGCTGATTTATCACAGATTCGCCCGCATAAACCATCCAGAGCATCAACTTCGCGGATTAAATGGCCTAGAAAATCGATTTTTTTAGCGGAAAAATTGCAAAAAATTCTCCAAAACCTTTCCCAATTCCTCCGAAACTCGGATTACAACTCATTTCACCTATTGTCTTCTTGTTTTGAGTCACTAAAATAGTTCGAGATCCACATCGCGCCGATGCAGCGGCACTTTCGCAACCAGCGTGTCCTCCACCGATAACTATCACATCTACATCGGTTTGAAAGCATCGACGGAGGATTCTGCAGCTTTTACTCAGCATTTCTAGGCTGGAAACTGATTTTTTTCATTTTTATAGCTATTTTTTTCTTTTTTTCCCGATATTTTGAGCTTTTCAACATTTTTAAACGATTTCACACATTCTTAAACAATACAAAACAGATTTATTTAATAAATTAAAGCAATAAAAAACAACATAAAGTCCCGTTAAGAAAACAAGTTTAAAGCGATATTTTTACTATTTATGGATTGATAAACGACACCATAATATATCTGGTACCCTTTGTCGTGGCGAGACCTTCGTGAAGATGGGTCAATCTTCCGGGGAACATCATAGCGTAGCCTGAAAAAAGCGAAAAAAAATATTTTTATTTTATTTTTACCTCCGAGAGGACTACACGGGCAGTGCGATGGAGCGCACTTTCCCCGGCAAAGCCGGGTTTCTCGACCACAAACTCGTTTTTCAGCAAATTTTTGATTTTCAGAAGACTCACCGACTTCATCAGCCTCAACTGTGCAATTATAGCGGACATAGCGCACTCCTCCACCCTCATAATCCCTTCCCTTCTTGTTCAGAGCAATATCAATGCTGAAAGTGCTGGCATCGTGGTGTGGGCGCAGTGAGGCTTGCTCTTCCGGCTTATAGCGGACTACGAACATCATATTGGACTCCACTGGCTGAAAATTTCAATTTTTTATTGGAAAAAAAAACGCTGAAAATGTGGACCTGATGGTAATATCCAATAAAGGTTTTCTCCTGCACCGGTCGTACATAAGTGTCCAGAAAGTACAACCATTGTCTTTCGAATCCAACCTGATTCATATGGATATCTCTGGTTGGGACGTTTTCATAACCTCCTGCTAGTCGTTTGTCCTAAAAAACAAATTTAAATAAAAACAGAAAGTTACCGTAATCGAGGCCACCCAAACTTTCAACTTTGAACCCATTTATCTCGGTTACTGTAAACGATATCAAAAAGTCCTTAACTGATAAAATGCTTATCATAATATCAGAAATATTTTGAAACCGAGATAAATGGGCTCAAAACTGGGTGCCCTTCTATTAGAGTGTTTACGATACACAAAAAAATAGAACTTACATTATTAGAGCCATCACTCCATCTCCCAAATCCTTCCATTTCCTCAATCAGCTCCTCACAGAATCGTTCAGACATCAATGGATAATCATAGACATCTGGACACGCCTGATCAATGATATGATCTGGTTCCATAATTTTATGATACCCCGGATGGATGTATCTGGCTTCCCAAAGTTCCCGATTTTCGAATATCTGCCACATCTCTGGATGCCATTTTCCTTCAGTAACAGTTTCCGAAAACTCGTCACTAACAATCAAATATCCAAAATATTTCTCATTGTTAATGTACATAAAATGACCATTATCCCGGGCAAACTGGCATAGGGACATATCGGGGTCCAGGTTTTTGTTATAGGTGTAAGCTCCGCTCATGGCTCCCAACTTTTCTTTGGACATCAAAAGAGCGGATGTGACGAATGGAACATTCCAGTAGCCCACACGATTGCCTTTTACAATTGCCATATAGTCTTCACTTCTGGCGTAATATCCGTTGGCAGCGATTGCTCCCCAGAAGTTGGTGAACAGTTTTCCGGGTTGGCCAACCATTGGGGATATTATTCCACTGAAAAATTGAGATTTGAAATTTCGGAACCCTTAAAGTCGTGTACGGTAGAATTTATTTTATTTCGTCCAGAAAAAAAATAGAATAGATTGACATAAATGATTTTCAGTCAATTTTTGGTCATTTTGCCTATCATTTCTAGTCTCCGTTTTTTATTCCAAAACATTCTCCGTGAAATTTCACATCTTTCTGTCCAATTTTAATTTTTCTCGCTCTGTTAGAAGCCGAGATAAAGCCGCTTAAAGTTTGGAGATGAGAGACGCAGACAACGAGACACGCTGCGTCTCTGGCCTCCTAAACTTCTGAAGGCTGTATCTCGGCTCCAAGACAAGCTAGAAATCTGGTTTTTGGACAAAAAAGGAGCAAATGAGATCCTCTTTTCTCACAAAATAATGATTTTTCAAAAATTGCCAAACCATTTTTTCAGTGACTGCAAAATAATTTGTAAATTGTTGAAAAAAAAAAGTTTTCAAATTTAAAATCAACTTACACATCATAACTCTTCGAATAATGAATAAGGTCCTTGATGACTGTTGGCTCAGTGAAATAGGCATCTCCGTCCATGAAGAAGGCAAATTCCGTGTCTCGTTGTTTGCACCAATCGCTGAAAGTTTAGAATTTAGAAATTCATAGATTACTGTAAAACCTGCAATAGAAAAAATTCCCCTAACTTCGAGCCCATATATCTCGATTCTTGTGAAGAATATTGTAAAGTTGTCAACTGATAAAATATTTTAAATATTATGACAAACATTTTATTAGTTGACAACTTTTTGATATCTTTTACAGGAACGGAGATAATGGAGCTTTCAACCTCTGCGCGCTTCCAGTAAGCTATACGCGATCGCGGGCTTGGTTTGGCTGAATTATCTCGCTTCCTGTGAGAGGTATCAAAAATTTGTCAACTAATAAAATATTACTGAAACTAAGATAAACATTTTAAAAGTGGACAACTTTTTGATTGCTTCCACAGGAATCGAGATATGTAAGTTCTAAACTCACATAGCTTCATTTCTTGCTTGCCGTTCTCCAATCTCTGTAACTCCGTTGATGATTCGTTTCGTGTAGTACGATTTTCCATGATCCTTCAAGAAATCCTGAATGTTCTTGATCGAGAATGGCTGATTGTTATAGATGTACAAAGCGATCCGATTTTTTGGATAGTCGAATTCCGAAACTTTCTGAAGAACCTCTTCGATGAATGGAACTGGTTTTGAGATGAATAAATTCAATCCAATCAATGGAAATTCGGTCTGCTCCTTGGCTCCTTCTTGATCACAAGTACGACATCCCAATTGAGAGTTCCAGCGATTTCCCAAATAGTTTCCAAGATAATTCAAATGAGATTTACTTGGTCCGTTTCCATGAACGATCAATGGTTTTGTGTTGTACGCGGCGTTATAGGCTTCTGGAGTACCATCTTCTTTGAATTGGAGCTCCACGTCTTCTATGACTCCGTTGAGGTTTTGAAATATTTTTGACATGGAATCCAGGTCCATATTCAACTCCTTTCTCAACTTCTCATCTAGATAAATCATCGTGTAGTACAGTTGATCATCATCCTTATCTTCCACTGATTTCAATGTAAGAATCTTATGAACCTGTGGTCCATAACCCATGAATAACCCGGAATTTAAGAATCGCTTTCCGAATTCAACTATTGGATAATCCGGAGCAAGGGTTTGATCTGGCCAGCAGAATGGTTCGGCTCCGAAGAGCAATTGCTTTCCTGGGTAGTGCTCTAGGAATTTCTGAAGGATGTTTTTGGAGTCCGCATTGAAGACAACGTCATAGGCATCCACAAACATGATAATGGTATCTGAGGCATCCTTGTATTTTTCGATCCATTTCGAGAGGATCCGGATTTTTTGACCACCTCCCTAAAAAATTTTGGTTTAACTTTGGATGAATTATCAAATCTAAATATTGAAAATTATTATATTTTGTATTAATGCAATTTCCTGGTTTTCTTTTTACCAAAATGCTTGATATTCTCACTTTCACATAGGCAAAGTTTCCTTCAATTCCATCTAAAAATCAGTTTCCTAGCTCATCTAGAAGCAGAGATACATCGATTCAAAGTTTTGGAGGCTAGAGACGCCAGACGACAAGACACGCTGCGTCTATAGCCTCCGAAACTTCCATTGACTGTATCTCGGCTTCTAAGATAGCTAGAAAGATAAAAATTGGGCAGAAAAGTGTGAAATTTCAAGAAGAATGTCTAAAGGGCATAGAAAGTTGGTTTTTTGACAGATTCACAAAAAAATTTTCTGTTCTACAAGTTCATATGTGAAAATCAAAAGAATCCATTTTTTCCGGTATCAAAATGCTTTCCCAACTAACCTTCTCAACTCTCGTATCACCACCATTCCATTTCTCTCCAAGACCCAACACTTCAATATTGATATCAAATGCCTTGGCAGATTCTAGCAGTCGTTTAAGTCCATCTGTATTTTCAGTGGCCACAGTGACGACTACAAGCTCCGGAAGATCCGTAATGGACACGGCTAAGATGACCGGAATGATTAGAAGGGGTAGCAGTAGAGGGAGAACCCTCATTTTGGCTGAAAATCGGATTTCTCATACTTTTAAACCGTGTCGAAAACGGACCAACGGCAAACCTGAGCTTCTTTCAGGTTTAATATTTTTGAACCAACTGAATTGGATATGATAGACTTTGACGAGTACTACAAAATGGTACTATTTGGAACACTGTATCTAGTATATGAACAAAGTTACAGACGAAACGATCCAAAAAGGCAGGAAGAGGCCCGGATCAGACACTTCATGGGTTATAACCTTGTTCATAGGCAAGAAACAGGTTTCCAAATAATATCATTTTGTAGTTCTTAAATTTTTCTATAATAACTAATTTAATTGGTCCGAAAATATTAATCATGAAAGAAGTTATGCCTAGATCCGTCGTTGGTCCGTTTTGGACCCGTTTCCACGGAATTTATGAAAATAAGGTCTGAAAAATGCAACTAAAGTCAAGCAAAATATAAAAATAGTGAGAGTATTAGACACCAAAAAAGGGAAACAGAAGGGAAGAAGAGGTGACATGTCAAAATAAATCGTCTCTTCTTGAGTCATTTCTCCTCCCTTCGTACTCTTTCTATACTTTCGCGAGACCTCAATGAACGCGAGAATCAAATTAAATTGGATTGGGAGGGCTTTCGGAGGGATCGGAGGATGAGAAGAAGGTATAATTATGAACATAAAAACTATGCGAACGAATATAAATATGTTCTTTTGTCTGGGGATTCTGAGATGACGTCTAGAAGTTTCTCCAGAAACTTCCAAGAGGTACTTTTCCTATTGTTGTGGAGGAGTTAATGAATAAGTCAAGGGATGCTATTCAGTGAGCCAGAGAGCTGAATACGTGACAGATCTCAATAAACATTAGGAGGAGACACTGACGGATTTGAATATAGAGAGAGGTCCAAGGAAAGCGAACGGCTGCTAGAGGGGGAGTACGTGCGAAAAGTAGGGATATTTGAGAAATTTTGATTTTAGAAGTCGATGAGAGCGCTATTACTCTGGTCTTCCTGTAGCGACCGGAAACTCGAAAGTGGGCGGAGCTTAGAAAAAGAATTTCATTTTTGCGGCTTACTGTAGCTCAAAAAATACGCAAACACCGATTCGAGTTTAAACCTCATTCTTAGCGTTTAAATCGCGTTATAATGTCTTTGAAACCTAAAAAATTGAAATTTCGCGATTTTCCAAATTACTGTAACTTGAAAAGTAGTTCGGGAGGTTCTGGACTGAAATTTTGAGTTTGAGCTTTTGGCCTTAAAAACGGGCCTTAAAAACGGATTCAAATGCCTCTAAACTCTAAAAATCACAAATTTGCGATTTTCTGGATTACTGCAGCTTCAAAAAAAAACATTATCTGGTCTGGTTTTTTTTTCAATAAACTTCATAAAATTTGAACTTTGAAAAAAATCCAAAAACGTTTTTATGGCCCCTAACTTTTTCAGTTTTGCTTCAAATTCTATTAAACTTATATTTTTTAAGTTTGCCTTGTAATGAGCTTTAAAATAAGTATAAACACAACATGTTTCTGAAAACTTCAAAATTTGACCGTAAAGGCGCATGGGGGCAAAAAAAATCCAGGGGCAAAAATCAAAATCATCCGAATATAGTCGTGTTTGTGCTCATTTTGAAGCTCATGACAAGACAAGTTCAAAAATCAGACTTTCAAGAAACTCGGAAAAAAATTGAAGAAATTAGGACGCCTCGAAAATTGGGAAATTTTTCTAAAATAAACAAAAAAAAAAGAAAAATCGCATAAAATAGCAGAAAACAATGAAAATTATTCAAAAAGTTACAAAAATACATGCTTCTTTGAATGTGTCTTTGAGGATTTCGCTACAGGACCTGCTCCGTCCACTATTGAATTTTCGGGCGAAATTTTGATTCTAAATTTATAGTATGGAGAATTTTCAAAAATCTAGGTTTCTGGAAATTCGAAATTCCGAAATTTGGAAAATTGTAAATTCTAATATGGAAGAAAACACTTACAAATTCAAAAGTTAGGGTCCAATAAATTAAAAAATGAAATTAAAAATATCTGTACCTTATAACTCTAAAAAGTAGCAAAAAAGTTATTTTAAGTATGATGGAATCTCTGAGATCCTAATTTTTTTTCCAACGATACCATAAAAATTTCTGAGCTTCCCAGATTCTGATTCTAATGAAAGGAACACCAGAATTCTGCAGAATCTCAATTCTACGTGCAAAAAATCGAAAAAGTCAGTCCTCTTCTTCTCCGTCTTACACTGGTAGTGACCGAGGTTGTCCGTTGGAAGTTTACACTTTTTGAAGAAAAAGCTCTCTCCCCTAGTGTCTTCCCTCTGGGTCACCAAGAAGACGGCTGTTCAGCAGATGTCGACCCCGAGCAGACCCTTCTTTGAGTCTGCGTCTCTTCGTCTTACACACTATATTCTTTTTGCAACTTTTTTTGTGATTCATCATAGTGATGAAGAAGAGGGGAGCACTGTGCACTTATAGTTTTGATATTATTGGAATGGATTGAAGAGGAAGAAAAGGAAGAAGGTCATGTTTGTAGATCAAATAAACAATAATAAAACGATTTGGAGTAAAAATGGAACGTTTACAATAACATACATATAAAGTTATCAAGGACACGAAATGGATGAACCAGAATCTTTGACAATCTTTTGGATGGCTTTTTTTGTGTTATGAGAAAAAAAGGCGTCATCCCAAAGAACAAGTTTTTGTTCCAGATAATATTTTAGTATGATAATTGTCTGATTTGAAATTGTATGTAATTTTAAATTGTAATTTAGAACAACCAAAATTTTTGGTCTACTGTTTAGGATAGCACAAAATGCATGTTCCTTTTAATGCCCCTTTGAGGATTTCGCTACCGAACCTATGCTCCGCCCACCTATGGCCAAGAATGTGGGGCGTGGGCCGAGCTTAGGTCCGGTAGCAAAATCCTATACAGCGCATTCAAAGGGTAATGTGTTTTCGTGACTATTTTCTATACTATTTTTTTTCGGTTTTTCGAATTTTCGTTTAAAAAAATGTTTGCCAATTTTCGAGAGGTCCTAATTTCTTCAGTTTTCTTCCGAAATTCATGAAAATCAAATTTTTTATGTTGTCTTGTAATGACCTTCAAAATAGCTATAAATACGACTATATTCGGGTAATTTTGATTTTTGCCCTCTGGATCATGCCCCTTTAAGATCAAAATTTGAAAATTTCAGAAACATGTTGTGTTTATACTCATTTTGAAGCTCATGACAAGGCAAACTGAAAAATAAAAGTTTTATAGAATTTAAAGCAAAACTGAAAAAGTTAGGAACCATAGATTTAGAGTTTTTGAGATTCTGAGACAATTTATTAACAAAAAATAAAAAAATTCATCAAAATGTTTAGATTGCCAACATTCTCCATAACGAAATTCCAACCGCTAACAGGATTCCTGAAAGTTTTGAATTCAAAATTTTTAAATCTAATTTTTTTCCCATACCACTTCCAATAGCAGAATTATGTTTCACAAATGTGAATCTGACATATGGACCAGAAGTGACTGTTCCGCTTGTCTCATACATGACAGTTAGAGATGTTCCAGTAGACGTGACGGTTCCAGACTTTGCCCCTGATGCAGTGTAACTGAAATCAGTCGTTTGAGCTCAATTATCTCTATTTCTATAAGAAATATAAGAGGAATTTTGTCGGCCCGGTCCGACTCCCACAATTGAAAAATTTCAAAAATTTCGAAAGAAAATCAAAAAAATCAGCGTCTGTAGAAACCCCGGGCCGGCTCTTCATGACCCGGCCCGGCCCGCCAAAATTCTCGACGGGTCGACCCGAGATTTTGCAACTATGGTATTTTTTTGTATTTCTCATAGGAACCGAGATAATTGAGCTCAAAGTTCTCTACTCACGTATTATCTTGTGAAACTTTCTGTCCATCCTTGATGAGAACGGTGAGAGTAGCATTTCCAAGAAGAGAAGCGCTGTTGAAAGAATAGGTGATATCAGAAAGTGAAGAAGAGAAGATTTGATCAGTTAGAGATTGTTCATTGCTCATCAATCCATAGTTTGCCGACGCCAAAAATCCATTACGTCCGTCGAATCCAGCTGTCCAATTAGCTGGAAAATGTCAAGTTCAAAACTAGGCGCTTCGATTTTGGTTGTTCGAAAATCGACGCTAGATTTTTCCTAATTTTTGCTAATAGAAGAGAAAAAAATTTCTTGTAATTTTGTCAAAAACCAACTCTATAGGCCTCCTCGAAGCCGAGATACAGTCATTTGAAGTTTGGGAGGCTAGAGACGCAGTGTGTCTCGTTGTCTGCGGATCTAGTGTGCCAAACTTTGCAAGTGTGTTTCTCAGCTTCTGAATGACGTAGAAAGTTGGTTTTTGGACAGATTTAAGGTAATTTTTTAGCTCTAAATTCTCCTGTAGATTTTTTCTCAAACTCACCACTTTGAGAATTTCCAGAAAACGTTATGGTAGCAGTTCCCTTGTCGAGAACAAATACGGTAAATTTCCCGTTGAATTCTTGTGGAAGATCTGTCTTCGAATTAGCGGATCTAAAATCATTCATTATGGATTTTTTACATCTCTCGAATAGCTCATACGTATAGTCTGTCAATTTGTGAGCATCTCCAAGATATCCGTTATAGACTGAAAGCTTGTTATCAGTTGCCATATCAATCCTTGTGATATAAAACGTTGGCCAGTAGCGAATGGCAACGGCGTTGCCTTGAGTTGCATTCAAGGAAGCAGCACAATTGATCGGAAGAACGCAATAGATCGGTTGATAAGATTTGAATTGCTTCACATCGGAATAATCTTGGAGAAGGACCAAGTTATGAGTATTCAGTCCAGGGAACAGGGAGAATAAAGTGAGAGACTTCCCTGAGGACACGAAATTGGTTCTAGAATCCATAATTTGGTACAAGCTGAAAAAAAAACAATATTATAAAAATTTGACCATTTTCACAAACTTTCCAACATGTTTTGCATTTATAGAATCTCCATCGTAGACTTGAGTAACTCGCAAATATGGAAGAAAATCGAGAATGTTTGATGGGAAGGCAAGAAGACTGACTTGAGTGTCCGCGGTGATTACGGTAGAGTTATCAAAGTCTCCTCCGAAAAGAGAGAGTGGGAGAGAATTTTGGTGCACTTTTGAGGTTGATGGATAGAGTTTCGGGTTGACTGAAAGATTTTAATTTGGCTGGAAAATTGGACATTTTCAAATTATTTTTGTGTTAGGACTATCAGATCAATCTATCGTGGTCGCCTAACTTTTCATAATTGATTTCTCTAGGCCACCATGGTAAATAGACTCGAAATGGCCTGATATTCGCCTGGTGTGCTTCCTGGGCCATTTTAACATGGTGGTCTAACTTTTGCAAATTGTGTTTTTAGGTCATCATGGTGGATGGACTAGAAATGACCTAATGTATCTTGGAGCGTTCTCGCCGTATCTTAATTATAATTAACAGAATAGATTTTTTTATTTTAACAATTTCCAGATTCTGGGATTTTTTCAAATTTTCCAATTCCCCCACCTTGGGTCCATGTAACCTGCATTCCCAACTGTCCAACATCACTGGCTTGCAATTCAACCTTAAACGAAGGATCCATCAAAAAGTAAAGATCTTCGGAGGCAACTGTGAGCCTGAAAAATTACCCAAATATCGATTTTTTCTAGAACCCTTACGTTGTTACATATCCTGTCGAATCGGTCATTTTTATGACTGAACTCCTGGTGTTGGAAGTAACTGTCCAACTGGCGAACCATCCTTTGGGAACATTTATCTAAATTTCGGATTTTTGGGAAATTTTGAAAATCAAAAGCTCACAGTCCAAACACAATTTTGGTTCCCGGCGAATTGAGGCGTTGGCAAAGTGTCATTCCAGTTTGCAGGGTAGAACCAAGATTTTGTGGTGTCGACTGGTGGGTTGATGGTTTGGGTTCCAGCACAATCTGAAAAAAGGTTTCAAGATGATAATTCTTGGATAATTTTTAGTTGAAAATGTTGCGGCCGGCAGTTGCACAGCCTTGATCAAACCTTACAACTTTTCGACTTACTGTATGGATCGTCAGACACCACTTGAGCAGCTAGCGAATAAAAAATCAATAAATTCAAAAAACGAAATAACATTTTTTGCACTAAACAGACAATAATGTGTGTCTAAAAAACTTGCTAACAGAAACTGATAAGCCATTTCCCGATTCTCACCTTATATGGGATGCTTATCATGTTTGCGGACACAAAAAACGTCATGGTGCAAAAAGTTCAATAATCTTGAAGTAATGGACGTAATAAATAGAATGTGAGTCAACAAATCATGGAATGAAATGAATCATTTTATTGTCATCCAATTAGTTTCATTATTTCAAAATTTAAACTAGAGCTGATTATACGGAACTTGGAAAAGTTGACTTCTTAAAGTCCAAATTCTTGTTCACTGAACTGATATATTTTCAGATAGATGATGAATTTTTCAGCGCTCCAAAATTGACAATTTCCACTCTTTGCGGTCGAAAATGTGGGCGGAGCTTCGCATTTGTAAGTGCATGTATTTTTTTTTGGTTATTTTCTCATCTATTTTCAGCGAGTTTTTGACGAATTTCATCGATTTTGAAGTTTTTTGAAAACAAAAATCCGAAAAATCGATTTTGTATAGTGCCTAACTTTTCCGTTCTGCCTAAAATTCCATGAAATTCATATTTTTCAGTTTGCCTTATCATAAGCATCAAAATGAGTATATACACGACATGTTTCTGAAATTTTCAAATTTTGACCTTAAAGGCGCATGGCCCAGGGTGCAAAATCAAAATCATCCGAATATAGTCGTAGCTATACTCATATTGAAGCTCATAACAAGACAAGTATATTTGACTTCCATGATATTTGGAGGAAAACTGAAGGAATAAATACCCTTCGAAATTTGGAAAATTTTCCGTCGCAGAATTGAAATTAGACCTACCGTACTCCACTCACTGTTAGAACTCTACTGATAACAGTGCAAAATATCACACACCGATCAATGACATTTGTATGTATGAATACATTTTGTGTGCGATGCTGATAACAATTTTTGTGACTTACTAACCTGATATAAACAAAATTTACTAGTCTTTTCCAGCTCCAAATATAAAAAATTGGCAATTGATTACGGTATTTCTGGCGTTTGGTAGTTTTTTTTCAATAAAAAATATCTTCTCATCGATTCTGAAAGTTTCAGCACCATCTGTTTTGTCAGTCTCCAATTGTCCTTGTGGAAATAACACAAATAACTTATGGTTGAATTTGATTCTAGTTGTGGACAACTCTCAGCCCACAAACATTATCAATGAGAGGATTTCTGGAATTTTCAGACCTCAATCTCGAATCGGAACTCATTATCAAGATCCCAGAAGTTTCAGAGTGGTAATTAGATTTTTTTAATTCAGTGATCTATCTAGCGCCCAAGAAGTTTTAAACAAAACCAAAGATTGGATAAATTACAAAAAAGTGGTTCTTGTTTTCGTTTCCACTTATGAGTAGGTTTATTTTTCTGTCAAATCTATCCAAAAACGAACTTTCTAGGATTTCTAGAAGCTGAGATACACACCTTCAAAGTTTCGCAAGCTAGAGACGCAGACAACGAGACACACTGCGTCTCTAACCTCCCAAACTTCAAATAACTGTATATTAGCTCCTAGCCTAGAGAGTTGGTTTTTAGACAGAACTACAGGTACCTTTTTTTCTCGAATTTAGACCGATTCCAAGAGTCGGTAGCTAGGCTGTCAAGTTTCCAATCAATTTGAAAATTTTTGAGGGTGTAAAATAGACCTAAATTGAAAACTTTGCATTCACAGAATTTTTTGAAAATTCCTATTTTTGCCGATTTCTGAAAGACACCATTTTTCACGCTTTCAGTACATTACCGGGCCAAAAAATGTTGTGTATGCAAAGTTTTTAATCTACGTTTGTTTCACACCCTCCTACATTTTCAAGGTGATCTGAAACTTGACAGAGGAGCTCCAGACTTAAAAAATAGTCGAAATGACCGTAATTAATTCCAGTAAACTGTTTCTGCTTTGACTATTGGACCTGAACCCAAGACAAGCATTTTGTTTAAAATTGGGATTTGTATGATATATCCAGGAGTCAAAGGAAACCGAAAATCGGCTCATAAATATTGCAAATCATTGGGTCTTCCAAGTAATCTAGCAACAGAATTCAATGAGGACAAACGAAAGTTTAACTACAGTAATCTCTGAATAAATTGAAAAATTAATCAAGTGAAACTTCAGAATTCATCAACTCTATTGATGATGACTCGATAAATTCCTACTGGAACGGATTGATTAGTGAAAATTCGACGTTGTATTGGGATCAGCCAAAAGGTCCGTTGATTCCCGAATTTTTCTTAACTTTCAGCATCTACCGTAAAACCTGCAATAGAAGGGCCCACATACTGTAAAGTTTGAGCTAAATTATATCGGTTCCTATGATAGACATCAAAAATATGTCAACAGATGAAATGTTTGTACCTATATGATAAGCAATTAAAAAAACTAAGATAAATTTGCCTTTTTCAGCTCGACCTTTTCTCCGACTCAATTAGCACATCAACTGGATGTGTGGCTGATGTCAAAGCTTCTGATGGATCTGTAAGTCATCGAAAAAAGCTTTGAACAGTCAGCAAATGATTTTCAGGTTACATGGACACCAATTAGCTGCTCGAACTCGTTCTACGTGAACCGTAACTATCCAATGGGCGTACCATCCTTTGGGAACATTGATCTAGAATTTTGGATTTTTTTGGAGATATCAATATGACTCACATTCCAAACACAATTCTGGTTCCCGTCAAAGATATCAAAAAGATGTCAACTAATAAATTGTTTACCATATAAGAAGTAGTGAATTTCAAAATTTTCAATTCTCGGAGGAAAAATCAAAAATGAATAAAATTTCTGTAATTTATCACAGAAAAATTTCAACTTCTGATAAATAGCATAATCGCTGGGTTTTTTATCAGAAATATTTTATTTCAACGTAACCACGGGAAATATGGTATTAATTACATTATTTTTGCTGATTTTCAGTTTTTTAATTTTTATGGTTTTTAGTTGGCTTTCAGAAAAGGAACACTTCAATTTTTGCAAAAATTTACGTGGTTCACAGAAATATAACGTTTCAATTTCTGGGATTTTTCCCAGAATTCGAACGGTTCGAGTTTTGGGATTTTGGGGATATTCACGTGATTCACAGAATTCGAACGGTTCGAGTTCTGGGATTCCAAAAAAAGAGAAACGAATGTGGAAAAAGGGGGCATAAAAATTATAATGATGGGAGATAAAAAAAAAAGAAACATGAAGAAGTGTGCTAGTTTTCCATTATCATGTCATCCGTAACAACTGGATTCGGTGGCATTCTTCCAGCATTGAATCCTTGAGATTTCAAATATTGCAGAATCGTCGTGTGTTCAGTGTCAAAATCAATGTTTCCGTGAGATGGCGTGGTAGATGATGATTTTTCTTTGATAAGTTGCAACGTTCTTAGATAAGCTGCAAAACCAAAGATAATTCAAGTATTTAACTTTACGTACATTTCTTTCCATAGCTGGAAACTGAATCTTCAAAATTGTCCTTGTTGTTTTGCGAGAACATTGATCCTCCATGTTTGAAGAGAGCCAAGCATTTCTCCTGAACACCTTCAATACATGGACGGCGAATGTCAGGTTGGAATGTTGATGGATCATAGGTACCCTGAATGATCCAGTTTTTACTTGTATAAATTCACACGCAACATAGATATATATTCACACGCGACATAGATATTAGATTACACGTATCGAGATACGTGCCAAGAGCTGATTGGATTTTTTGTTGATTGGTTTCTGTTGTTCTAGAATTCCTCTGTTCTACAGATTTTTTCTAATATAATATAGACATGCTTTCAAAAGCAAGATAAAGGATAAAGTAATTTTTTCTACGGTTTCTCCTATGAATACATTGCCGAGGGCATTGAATAAATCACGGATGGCTGTTATTATTGACAAAAGCTTCCTGAAAAAAAAGAATTGGAAAGTTGTGAGTTCATATTGAGTCTCTTCAAACATGGAGGATCAATGTTCTCGCAAAACAACAAGGACAATTTTGAAGATTCAGTTTCCAGCTATGGAAAGAAATGTACGTAAAGTTGAATACTTGAATTATCTTTGGTTTTGCAGCTTATCTAAGAACGTTGCAACTTATCAAAGAAAAATCATCATCTACCACGCCATCTCACGGAAACATTGATTTTGACACTGAACACAAGACGATTCTGCAATATTTGAAATCTCAAGGATTCAATGCTGGAAGAATGCCACCGAATCCAGTTGTTACGGATGACATGATAATGGAAAACTAGCACACTTCTTCATGTTTCTTTTGTTTTTATCTCCCATCATTATAATTTTTATGCCCCCTTTTTCCACATTCGTTTCTCTTTTTTTGGAATCCCAGAACTCGAACCGTTCGAATTCTGTGAATCACGTGAATATCCCCAAAATCCCAGAACTCGAACCGTTCGAATTCTGTGAATCACGTGAATATCCCCAAAATCCCAGAACTCGAACCGTTCGAATTCTGTGAATCACGTGAATATCCCCAAAATCCCAGAACTCGAACCGTTCGAATTCTGGGAAAAATCCCAGAAATTGAAACGTTATATTTCTGTGAACCATTTGTATTTTTAATAAATGATTATAATACGTATAAAATAGAAAGTATGAAAAGTTGAAAACAGAAATAATCGAACCTTGAAAAAAAGTCAGAAAATACCAGTTGCACAGTCTGATCGTTTGTTTTGTGAAAAAACACGCTTTTTTTCGCTCTGCAAAGAAAATGCGAAATTACTGAAACTTCACAGAAATTGTGGAAATCGAAGTGTTT